GGACGTATAGTCGACGTCGGTGACCGTGACCCCGGACGGGAAGTTGTGATTCGTCCCCTTTCGGGCGAGTACTGTCACTTCAAACCCATCTTCGAGAAGTTGTCGCAATACAGGTAGGCCGAGGAGACCGCTGGCCTATAATAGATGCAACTTTTAGCCTCCTTTTCTGTAACTTAACACGGTAGCATAAGCTCTTACCCCGGCGACTGCAACTTTACTGATCGTGCTCATGCTTTCTGAGATTATCCTTGACTGCTACTGATATGTAGAATCACGATTAATCAAATATGAATGTGATAAGATGAGCGATCTATGCCAGTACATGCGACACTGACGAGTTTGCATATCGGATGAATCGTCCCATATGTGCAAGATGGCATGCAAGAGGTTGACATCCCACGTCACCAAAATACGCATCGGCATTTCATTGCTGGGCCGAGTCCGATGCTCATTTGTCATCATAGTTTCCTCGGAGCTGGAAATAGCTATGTAATATAGGGGCAATGCTGATCGGTTAGGCGGATCGAGACAGCATGGGGCCGTGTTCGGGACTGATCTCTTATTCAAAACAAGATACAAAGAAGAACTTCTGGTTTACTATCGGCTTTCGCTTAGATCTAGCTCGAGAATTCGCAGCGTGACGTTAATCCGATGAATTTCCAATTATATAGGTACTAAATTATGTTTATATCAGTAATTCGCAAGTATTCGTAACTTTTTGTTTGGCGATGGTGTGATCCCTATGACCCCTATTTGGGTCGTGTGGTGTGGGGAAGGCAGTAGGCAATGCAAGTCTCGTATAAGACAAGGATTTAATGGATTTAATTACGCGCGGGAATGCAGCAGCAGATATCTTGGACGTCCTAAGCAACGAATGCGTATATTATGCAGTTGATGATATATGAAGTTGATGTTGAAGAACGATTCCGTACCCTTGAACGCCGTATGCTACCTTTTGGGGGCGTTGAGCTTGCTATAACTCTAATGTTAAATCTGTTTACCTTTCCGTTCCCAGTGACGAGTTTGATGTTGAGATCCCATACTCTAGATCTATAACGCCCTATATGCATGCTCGTATATACGTTAATGTCATGTCATTCCGGTTGGCGGCATCTACCTGTATGCTCTATTCAGTCCGACCAGGCTGAGAAACTCGTTCCTGGTCTTTTCTTTCTTTTCGAAACAACCAAGCACGCAGCTAGTAATAGTGCTCGTAGTAGTCTTTTCGACGCCTCGCATAACCATGCAAAGATGGCTTGACTCCATGACGACTGCTACCCCCTGGGGTTTTAGTACCTCCATAATAGCATTGGCAACTTCTCTCGTTAGTCGCTCTTGCACTTGCAATCGACGACTAAACATCTCAGCGATACGTGGTAGCTTCGATATGCCGATGACGTTGTTTTTCGGGATGTATCCGATGTGCATCTGATATAATATTAGAATGGGGCGTAAAGCCGTAACCTAGACGGGTTCAACTAACCTTCCCGAAAAAGGGAACTAGGTGATGTTCGCAAAGACTGAATATCTCAATATCTTTCACGATAACCATCTCATTATGATTTTCGTGAAAGATAGCGTTGTTGACGATGTCTTTGACATTTTGTTGATACCCTTTTGTGAAGAACAGCATAGCCTTCGCATATCTTCCAGGGGTATCCAGCACGCCTTCCCTATCCGGGTCTTCGCCGACACATTCCAGAATTGTTCGGACGGCTCCTTTCATTTTTTCGAGTCTCTGAGCGGCCTGCTCGGAACTCTCTTCAAGTCGCTCTCGAGTTCCCCGACCTAGATTATGTCAGCAATATTATTCTAGGTAGGTACCTAGTTAGGTAGCTAACTATTGAGAAGTTCGCTTACGTACTCGGTCGGCTTAAGCCATCAAAGTCAATAACGGGACTAGGGGATCTTGTTTCGGCGCCTTCGGACTTAACCTTCTTCTTTTTCTTTTTCGGCGGCTCATCCCTAGGATCCCGAGCCGCTTTGCTTATGCTGTTTCTCCTTTTCGACGAACTGTCATGACCATTCATCTCTGATATTCCACCATCCTTTGCTCTTCTTCTCCTCTTCCTTTTTCTCGCTTTTCTGTCATCTCGACCTTCGTCGCGCGTTCGCTTTTCGCTACCATTGACAGAGTCGTCGATGTCGGAAACACCCGTCGCGGAACTATTAGATGAAGCCGCCGTTAATGATTCCCGGTTGCTCTGTTTGGATTCGGTGAAGTGCGCCATATTGCTGCTTTTTTTCGGCTGCAGCTTCAATCGATGCAAGGGAATGGCAGTGGCTGGCGCATATGGCGTAAGTATTAAAGGATTGTGGTTGGGCAGTTCGTTCTTTAGAAGTCGAGGTTTAATGTTGCTTGGTGCTTGGTGCTTGTTATGTATAATCGGCAATCGACGGAGCGGAAAAACAAAGTTGTAATTTCCAATGAATTCATTCCTTTGATGCACATGTGTCCAGGGAAGATTGACGTGCTTATGTAGGAATATCAATTACCTAGTAGAAGCCGAATCGCTAGAATGCTACAAGCTTCAAGTCTATTAGTTCGGAAAATTCAATTCAACTTGCATGTATCCGAATATTAGGTAACTCTTCAATTGGTAGTTATCGGCCTTGATAGGATCTTCTGAAAGTCCGCGGGGTATGTAATTGCACATGTGCCCCTCCAGTTCTAAATAAAGTATCGAAGTACAGTACATGGGTACATATAGTGTGGATCCGGATGTCAATGGATCTTTTGGATCTTGTGGCTGATATTCATGTGGCTGAATAATCTTGTGGCTCAAGCTCTTCAATGTGAGGTCGTCATCCTGGAACGCTACGAATTTCAAGGTTCTAAACACGATTTACCTATTCCTTATCGCATTTAACCATCCTCCAACTTCTTAAATTCATCACTTCGCACGACACACACGTATCGAAATTTTCAGATCGTTTAAATCGTGATATTTATTTCGCTTTGCATCTTTCTATCTAGACTGACTCGAATACACCTCCTAGCAACGTGTTAGCTCGAGCCCGTCGCGACATCTAGGACTTCGAGCGGACTTGACTAAACTAGGCGCTCTAGACAAGATGGCGTCTCCTCCACACGCCTACTCGCCTGCGGGTTCTCCACCGTATTCTAGCGCGCCGCTGCCATCGAAGAAGCGCGGCTCCACGACTGCTGATCTTTCAGTCCAGCCGCCCTCACTCAAGCGACGCAAAGCATCTGTTATGTCAATAGCCTCTGCCGGCTCAGCTCATCCTCTTCGACAAACATCGTTCCCACCCGACGAATCGCAAGCCCGAGCTTTCTCGCCTTCGTTCCGGCGATCCCCTAGTATGGACGCTATGAGCCTCGTCAGCGGAAGCCAGGTGAGCGGCGCGCCTGCTAAGAAGAAGCGAGGTAGGAAGTCGAAAGCAGAGCGCGCAAGCGAGGCGGCCGCCGAGGCTATGCGATATGGGTCACCAAGCGTCGTGGGAGGTCGCGCGCCAACCGTGCTGAGCAACGTCAGTGGCAACAACGCTGGGAAGGATGCCGATGCGGACAAGGAGAAAGAAGAGGAGTTCGAGATGCCGGAAAACATGGCTAGCATGTCTACTGCTCGTACGCAGGAACAGGTCCAGGAGCAGGAGGAGCTCAAATCATTCGTGAAGTCTCAGATGGACCCCGTGCAGTTCGCCCGGTATGAGGTTTGGCATCGCCAAACCCTAAAACCCCAAGACGTTAAGCGGGTAGGTTCTCGCGTCCTGCTCTGCTGATACCTTGAATTGTTACGTGTCTAACTATTTCTATAGCATATCAACAGTGTCACTTCGCAATCATGTCCGGTTAATGTCCATCAAATGATGCAAACTGTCTTGAAGCAATATATCGGGGATATTGTTGAGGGAGCGCGAGAAGTTCAAGAAGAATGGGTAAAACTAGGCGAGAAGCAGACTGACCTGCCTGACGATGAACTGCTACCTATGAACGAATTATCCGAGTCCCGCAGAGAGGTGCCCTTGCGACCCGAACACTTACGAGAAGCATACAGACGCCAAAAGGCTGCTGCCGAGCACGGCGGATCGATGGGAAGCCTGATGATCTGGAACCAACAGACGCAAAACGGGGCCGATCGGTTTGCGGTGAAAGCTGGAGGTCGCCGCATTTTTAAATAAGCACAGATGTTTCGATAGCCCCGATTCCCGCACTCTAGGACGCGAAGGCATGCCCATGAAGACGAAGGATCCTACGTAGTCCATCCGATATGGTTACGATGCGAAGAATACATCTTTGCAGCATACTCCCTCCGCTCCGCCTTCCACCACACACAAGACGTCGATATCCACCCATTGATACCCAAAGCAAACTTGATTTTACAATACCGTCCTCACGGATTGTATGAGATTGCAGCACTGAGTTGGAAGACAAACATATTAGTCGAATACACCGGCCGACCAGCTCTGCAATATCTTCTACACTGCCTTTACCCCTGCGGATTTAGTCCACCGCGGGTAAGATTACGTTAGGGGAATGAAAACCTCATCCTCGGAAGATTAATGGTGTATTGTGCCCGTCCTAAAAGTAGAATTCTCTCAGAGACGCGCCCACCCAACGTGTGGGTTTATTCTTGTTGTAGCCTCTATAAGCTACGGCTGCGACTTGCACATGCTTCAAATGTATTCAAGTAGGTAGTCAGTTATGAGAATAAGTTACATAGGAATAATAAGTTTCGGAGTCGTCCATAATGAAATCGTAAACCATCACATCCGTCGCGTCTCATCTCCATCAATTTACATACTACACTTTTACCTAGGTATCTAACAGAAGGTTCTATGTATATAGTAACTAAGTTCAATATTGAAACAAGATTTCAATGTTGCTTGCAAGATGTTGAGTCTTCGATTACATAACATGTCCCCACACTGTCTATTAGGTGCTTCCATAATTAACCATTCGTCTCCACCCATAGTACTCAGGTACTTAGTGCTTCTTTCGAAACTGTTTTCCATGTCCCAACAGGACTAACAACCTCGCCTTTATAGCTCAGTGGTAGAGCGCAGCACTTGTATGTCCAATCACAAGTTCATGCTGAGGTCCATCGTTCAATCCGGTGTGGAGGCACTCAACCTTTCATTTTTGACAATATCATTTATATCTCAGTGTTACTTTTTCCCCCCCAAACTTTGAGATTTTTATTTGCTTTTTAACATTCATTAATATCCGATCGATTTGATTATAATTCAAGACGCTATGATCGTGAAAGGCTGCTCACAGCTAGCTACTGACTGTACTGACTGCATTGAACCCCGATTTTTCGGCACATGTAACTTGGCATGGTTCTAAAAGAGACAGCAATTAATCCCTGAAGCTTCTCTCCAGGCATCGATATTAACCCCTGGCTTCACCGTCTCACCCACTAAAGATATCTAATTCTACTATGTAGCTTGTCAGCATGCACGATCTTTCATGAAGCGGAGAGCCATCATCGTCACTTGGTTCACGCTAGCACCAAAATAAGCGCCCTTTTTCATTCCAGCATACACACGCTCATAGCTCTGTCAAATGTAACTCAATTATTCTTCTATTGATTTTTCAAATTATCAATTGAATCAAGTTTTTTCCCGCCTATTTTATTATTGTCATTACTATTCAACTTTCAACTTACGACTTGTGTCATAACACCCTACTAATGTGTGAGTTATGAGTAAGTCCCCGTCTTTTCGAACATGGCCTCATCTCCTAACGCCATTTAATTAGGTGTGTACATAGATAGGAACTACATATCGTATGTATGAGGTGGGGCAAAACACTGCCGCAACGGACACCTTGTCATGCAATGCATACAACGGCACGGGTTTTAATAATCGAAGCTTTTGAGGCTGTCGAGTTAGAGTTCGAGTTATTTTGTTGCCTAGATCGTGATCAGCAAGCCAAGGTTGGTAAAGGCTCAGGTGAAACTCCCACTTGATTGGCTTCACATGTGTTGAAGCCCTGGAGATTCGAGCATCCAGGTTCGGTGTAAGTGGACATGAACTTATTGCCAATCATAACAATAGATCTACATCGCAATGCGGGTGTTCGAGATCGGGAAAAAAGACATTTTACGACTCCAAGAATCCTTTGAGTGCAGATCACAACGCTCAGAAGCTCGTATTAGCAACTACCCAGTTGGTTATGTCTCGTTGTCACTCAATCGAATCATCTGAGATGTGTAGGCAGCAGGAAACAATACATACATTTAAAGGACTATGAGATGTGAGGTTGAAGTGCATCTATAGCAATCTTCCAATTGTGTATAGTTTCAATAACTAATTCTCACAATGTCCCATTCTAGTCAAACTAGACGTGCGTCCGTTGCCGATACAGAGTATGCTGTACCGGACACCCCTCAACCGATAGAACAACTACCTGATAAACCAGCATGGGACATCGCAAGGCTTGTGTTACGCATTGTATCAACTACGCTCTCAGCTCCTCTCCTCGCGATATCCCTAGCTGGGTTTGCGGCACCGAAGGGATTCAGTGGTTTCCCAATCATGGGTACTTCGCTAGTAAGTTCGACTCCTAATATGAGTTATTCATGGCCAAAACAAATTCTAAAGAACCTGGTGGTTTAGTCTGCACTAGCACTCATATACGACATCTCCGAATACATCGTTATGTGTGTCCAGAAGAGAAAGACAGGTATCCGCCCGACCATTTCCCTCGGATTTGAGCTCGTCGTTTCGCTGGTAGGCATCGCTCTATCAGCACTCCTAATCACCTTCACGGCCGATTCCTATATATGGCACGATTATTATGATGGCAGAGCCGGGACTCCTGTTCCCGGTTATGTCGAGAATGGGAGATTGTGGTTTGCTCTGTCTATCATTGCTAGTATCTTGGGCACGGTCTTATCGTGAGTTTCGATTTATTCAGTGTCGATTATCATCGCTCAGCTAACACGTCTCAAAGATTGGTACACTTCGTTTTGTTTGTCCGCGATTGTGTGGAAGTCCATTGGTACCGGAAGGGAGTTTCTACGTCGCAGGAAAAGGAGTCGGCAGCCAACTCAACTTTCGAACTCGATGGCATTGAGGACAAGAAGGGACCACCAGTGAGTCCACCAACAAATGGCATCAACTAATATCATTGGTTGACACGATGTCTTTTTAAGAAGTATTTGAAATAAAAGACTCAGTCTCGGCACGCCTACGAACCGGATTTCCCTACTAGCATATGTCTTTAACACCCGCTGTAGTCAACTGCCTTCTTCTAGACCCTGCGGCCTCTAATAATTATGTTAGGAATAGAATTTGTAAATAACTTTTGAGAGTTAAAGAAGTTGGAATCCTGTCGACCTTTGATGAAATGCGGGTGTTTTTCGTACAGCTAGGGTTTATAGGATGAACTCAGAATGACCACATAATTAATATGAAATATTTAGAATGTTACGAAATTTTTTCATGCTTCAAGTGTGTAAAAATTCGCAGTTCGCGCCCATTTATCGTCCAACCTTGTAACATCTTCATCGTCGAATGTTTTATGATTTTTGTGTTTGATAGTATCCTCCGCAAAAAAATCCTGCTTAGTCATCAAAGGGGTCACCCCTGAATCATACTTGATACCTAAATTATAGCAACCACATTTAAGCCGACGAGCACCAAGATCCACTCAAACGATCTTGCGCATTTTAAAATTAGGTACAGTAAGATATAAACAATTGGAAAAGGAAGGGTTTTAGGGAATACTAATACTTCAAATAATGGGTCATTTTAATGCGCATATCGTCTTATAAATCCAGGTTAAGTCATAGTAGATCAATATCACCGAAAAGTTAATTCATTGATGAATTTCTCAGTTAGTACCTAAGGTACTAAAGCATGGGAAATGCTAAAAGCTCTTGGAATTTTTCATTTTGTAAAATCGCGTACCCTCATTTAGCACATAGTCGTGTACCTTAATGGTAGGGTATCTTCTAATCCTAGAAAATTCGTGGTGGATGCGGGTATCGTAAAGGAAACCAGTTGGTGAATAGTTCGAGTTATAATCTTCCTGGAGATAATCTCTTGTGTAGAATTCACCCTAATGGTGGTACCCGTATTCAAGTCGTTTGTTGGGAATAGCTCATATGGTTTTTAGCATCGTCGGCATTGTTTTACTTGGATCTGTCCATTGGCCGCAAACCAACTATTCCACGTCGGTATCGTATTCCATAGCTGGCATTGAAGTTTTGCTTAGTGGTGCAGTAGCAAATATATCGAGTGCATACGATATTAAAGTGGCACCTATGAGGAAGTGTAGTCATGAACGGGTTTTCCAGATTTAGATATAAGAATCCAATGCAACCCAGAAATGTGTTAGTTGCCGGTCCTAGTTCGAGTAGGCACCTCATACCTCGTGAGGAGGAAGTCCGAGAATATTCTCATATCCACTAGCTCGCCAAACTTAGAAAAGGTATTGTAAAGCTTAGTGCGGATAAATTTGGGAGAATAAGGAGATGTCGATATCGGGGATGTTGTTTGCAAAGAGTCGAAATTCTTTAGCAAAAGGATTTCAGTTCAGGATCGCCCCTGAGCCGTAGCAGAGTAGACTACGATCAAAGCCAATGATATTCGGTGCTTCCTATCCGGATTTCTGGGTTTGGTGTTTGATATAAGACAGCTTAGTTACCTTCTAAACGAAGACGATTAGTTGGTAGTGTATGCCGATTCCGTGTCAAACTATGCGTCTTTCCCTAATGCACCTATACAGGATTGACGGCTGTGTACACCCTCGAATTTGGAAGGGGTGTAGACGCGAATAAACGAGGCAAAGTATTCTACCTAGCTATCTAAACGGATCAAGAAATTAGTACTAGAAACGAGCACGAGAAAGATTGGGCCGAAATACCTGAAGATAGAAGTGGTGGGGGAATATGAAGGGAGATTGGTGTTGGCAGACCATCTTCCATAAATAAGTTGGAAGACTAGTACCCAAGCAAAGTAGGTAGGGAACTATGCAAGTGCCGCCGAATTTTGGCCTCCTGTTGTCTTCAGAAACTGACTAATGAAGATTTGGCAAATTCCAAAGCTGCACCCATAAAGCACATTTGGCAAATAAACGGGTGCAGAGGCGTGGAGTGTATGGAGTCCGTAGCAATGATACTGTGTAGGTGAAAGCGTTAACCGAGGATGATATCCTCGGGAAATCCGGTCAACCGGTCGTTCACTGATCGATACTGATCCTTCGGGTTTCCAGTTCCATTCTCCTTCTGAACTATCTGGACGAACTCTAACCGATTCACCTTCACATCTTTCCCTTCGTTCCTCTTCCATTGATCGAATCGTCTCAAAAGCGCCACTTCGTGGTTGTTGGCACGGACACGGATCATTGCCTTCTCTCGCTTGTCAACACCTCTAACGGCAATTCTCATCAGATAAAGCGTCTCGACGTTGGGCCACGATCGCGTGATAGTCTGCCAGCACGGTTCTGTGGTGACGGGCAAGTGGGGTGACTCGGTCTGGACGGCTAAGAATCGGACGGCGGAGCGATCGGCTTCACAGTACTGGTGTCGAGCACAATGGCATCCGCGGCATGCACCGTGGCAGGGCTCAAAGGTCACAATGTCGTTGGTGTTGGTATCCTGGATTGTCTTGGGACCAAGAGCGGGGACTAACGGGTCGTGAAGACCGAATCGCTTCTGATAGTGGAGTTGTGCGATCCATCGCGATAGGTGGCAAGTATTGAACCACGTAGGAGGTCTGTTCTGAGCTCCAAAAGTTGCCCCGGCATGCGAAATCGAGGATCGATTGCATATATACAGCAATCTTGGTTCGATGGCGGCCTCCCAGATCATCATCTTGAGTTCGGGAGGGAGCCGGACATACTGGTGGAACTCAGTGAGCGGTTTCCAGAGGCGGGGTGAGCGGCGAGGATAAGCCTTGGCGCGATTCGCTCTAGTTCTTCTTCCACCTACTCTTCTTGCTCTTGTCTTGGATAGAGTCGTAGAGGTCGAGGCGACAGGGTCATTTGTTGGAGCCTGGTGATCGCCAATGCGAGCCGATCGACGGAGTGGCATTCTAAGCTGTCCTATATCTGGATGCTTCCTAAGCAGCTTCAACAGCGACGGTGAGATGAGGGAACTATCCTCGTCCTTCGTC